AAAAATCAACTTACGTGATCATTCTCGACAGCTATTATAGTCTGGAGCTGCCTACTCCTTGGTATAGATGGCACCACTTTAAATGTACCATCTAAATGGATTTCGTCGGCGTTGACGAAGACATCTTTTAGTGGGTCGATTATGAAGCAAATTGCCTCGTCCTCATCCTGGCCCGCTTTTTTTAATGTATACTCTGTGTCATGGAAACGGCCGGCCAATCGTTCTTCGTACTCCTCGTACGTCTGTGGTATTCTTGAAGTGCTTTGGCTCCTTGTCCTCTTCATTGAGCTAACTAGACTTTTGTATGTTAATGAAGCCGCGATGTTGGGTAATACTCTGAATCATGTCAAGGGTTTTCTTAATGATCTTTCTTCATCAGAGGCTACGCCAACGACATACTGTAAATGCAAAAGGGAGTACTTAAACTGTCATCCGATTTTGAGTATTTTTTTAAACCGCTCAAAACTGTTAAACAGTGCAACCGATTCAAACTTACTCGTTTAGGACCTTTATCATGAATAATGTACAAAAATATCACTTTTCCCAAATTGTAACACGCTTTAACTCTGAAACGTAGCTTTATAGAAAAATTCAACTCATGAAAATATTTGTAAAATTACAGTATAAAATCTTCTAAAATACAAGTTGTCCCATAAGAAATTTGCAAGTTAACTGCCATATTGAAAATATCAGTCGTAAAAAATTTGATAATTTTGTATTTCATTAGTTAATAATTGAAGTTCCACATAATAATGTTTTCGCCCCGCATATTCGCAAATTATTTATCACTGAAACTTCGGTTATGAAGGTAATATTTAAATTATTTTAATGGAATTTTATCTTACAGATGCATCATGTACTGTATCAAATGTTATTTCTGTATTATTTATGTATCACAATAACTAATCTTAGCCCAAAAAAGTGATCGAGTAATGGCGACTGGTCGATGTGATCTTCAGTGCCCGTCCTGTAATAAGAAAGTTAAAAAGAATGAAAAAGGAATTGGTTGTGTAGGTTTTTGTAAGATTTGGTGGCATATTGACTGTGTGAATATTTCTGAGGATGAATATTCGAAAATTCAATCACTAGAAGAAAAAGTGAAGTGGTTTTGCCCGAACTGTGACGACAAGGTTAGCAGAGTGCTTGTTAAGATAACTGATGCTGAGAGTTTCTTAAGTATTGAGGAAGCTGTTGCAAGCTTGCTAAGGTTGGTGAAAGGTGTGATAACGGACAATTTGGAAATAGTTAATAAGTTGGAGGAGTCTAATCAGGCTAATTTGAGGTTAACTGATGACTTTCAATCTTTCAAAGAATTTGTTAGCGGCAAGTTGTCTGCTGGTTCTACTGTTACTGTACCTGTACAGTCCAGCAGCGATACAAAGACGTTAAAAACTCCTGTCACTCTGCTGTCCTTGAAAATGACAACCGAATGTTCGATACTAATGTTCGAGATCCTGAATCGGGAGCAGACGACAACACCAATGTAACCTCCAACCAAGGAGTTAGCGGAAAGGTTCAAGAAGATCTAGAGAGTTTACGAACAACAAGTATCGTGACGTAAATCAAAGTAGACATTACAGTGGTTTTACAGCTTACAAAGGCCGTGGATACTCAAACCGAAGAAGCCGCTTCACTACAGACGACAACTATGGTGATTCATCTGCATCTCGAGTGAATGTTGAGGTTATTGACAGTGAACTTGTGCCGAAACGTTTTATCGTCGGTACTAACGCAAATACCAGTATTTTATACCAGTAATCTAGTGCGGAAGTTTGTTGAAGTAGTTGTTGTTGAGGTGGGGGTGGGGGTGGTTGTTGTTGTTGTGGTGGGGGGGGGGGTGTTTGTTGAGGTGGGGTTGTTGGTTGGAGTGAAGGTAGTTGTGGCGGGGGTGTTGGTGAGAGTGATGGTGATCGTCTGGGTCTCCTAGGTGGTCCCCCTCCCGATTGCCTGAGCCCCTCCTGCCTCTGTTATGCCTGTTGTTCCTTCTTCGCCCGGGTCTTGGTCCGCTTCCCCGGTGTAGCCTCAAGATGTTTACCACCGTTTCAGGATCTTCATGCATGTCTGAAACATTAAAGTTATGTATTACAGTCTGTAAATTCCTATTGTAAAAACAGGATGTAACTTCCACAATGACATCAACACGAAATGCATATTTCCCCCTAGCCAAAATGGTGGGTATACCAAAATTTGGTTCATGTGGAAAATTAGGTTTATATTCCAAAGCACCCATTTAGGAGTGAGTGAATCAATACTTTTAGAAAAGAATTGCAAAACCTTTCTTAACAATCAATGTTACAAACAGAAAGTATCTATATATTTCGGTTAAAAAAATACAGTTTTTTTGTAACTTATTTACACACAGTATAGGAACTGCACTAAAATGTACGTTTACATGTAACACTGATCTTAACAACCGCTAAACTATTTTTAAAAAAACTCATTATGGTATTTTAATTATTACTCATACCTATAGTTATTGTAGAAGTTACTGTTAATAAATGCATCTGTTCCTCATCACTTAATTAGTATTATTTTGTGATATGCATGTGCCCTATATTGTTTTTAAGGCTTAGCGCCCAATCTTAAGAGTAATTACGTTTTAACAATAATGTTAGTATTGAGATTGGAATAATCTATTTGAGATTTTATTGATCAAGTCCAAAAATAACTTGACTGCTTAGTTTAACATGAATTTTAATGCTAACTAAAGATACTGTAACAATCAAAGTCACTAGTACACCCCTAGTGCACCGTAGTCTAGATGGCTTGTTTTCATACATGTATTTCCTACATTCTCTTGTTTGGCGTACGTTTGTTTTTTAATGTCTAAACCGACATGGCAAGACCCAAGTTAAGTTTTAAGTTTACCTTATGACATTGTAACGCAATACATGGAATTTTGAAACAAACCAACAAAAATACTATCCTAATATTCAGTAAAGTAGCAGTTGATTAACAACTTACGCAGTAGGCCACCGACCAATCCATGGGACTCGGGCAGCGACGCCCCGCATCATTCTACAGAATTCGATGCTAGACCCACCCCTGCCCGAAGAAGGGATTAACATGGTCAACCTGATGCTGAAATCCATATTGACCTGAAAATTTGTCTGTGTTACTCAAGGTCCCACTATAACATCATAAATCTGTCATGCAAATGTTCCAGACATGCTTCTGTTATCAGAAGGTGATGTAGATGTCATTGAAGAGTCTTGAAAAAAGACTACCAAAAAGGCTCGTGTAAATGAGATTTTAAAATATAGTTTGGTTGTACGTCCTTTGAACCTCATGAAATTTACGTATAAGATGCTTGCAAATAATGCAATATTTAAAAATAGGTACTTAATATGATGGGACACCCAAGTATTTGGTTCTGTTGTTGTAATGTTAGGTTTAGAATGTCAACAAATTAAATACAATATAGAAATAATTTGCTTTCCAAGTAATGTTAAATACAATACTGACATTTTTTTTTTAATGTTTGTTTAATAAAAATGTGGTTACAATTAACTTTACATTTATCTAATGTGCGTGGATTAAAAAGTAACGTCTATGGAAAAGTAGCTAAAATTGTAGCTGTAGCTACATTTCAATGTAGGCCTACTAGCTACTTTTTTGAAAATGTAGCAGTAGTTGTACTAGTTGTAGCTAGCTACATTTTAAAAGTAGCTTCCCCAATACTGTTAATTCCTACAATGGATTCTGATTAGGCTACCTATTGTAAGAAAAAGTTAAAATACAGTAGTTACTTACATTGTTTTGTTTGAACTTAAAATATCACTTCAACAGGCGTGCACAACACAATGTGAGGATATCCACTTACTTGAGATAGTGACATCTCAAATATAGGCATACACAATCTCCCGAACATCACGAACAATTTATAAGCTACACAATTAAGTTACATAATTAAAGCCACGGATACTTACACTAAACAATAATGCGTTTAACTTTCAGCGATTAAAAGAACGCACTATGCTAGAATACTATGAAAGCGTTGGTTATGAAAAGCAATAAATAGCGCATTAGCAGCCGTTGGCAAAACACCACGTGTTGACTTTGGTAATTATCAATTTAATGCATTATTTAAATTTTGCCTCAAGAAAATATTAAATTACCATAAATTTCTATTGCTGGCCTACCCCTTTGGTACAATTTCATTTTTTTCTTTTGAAATATGTTTATTACATTGTTATGAACTAGAAAACAAGTCGTTTATGTTCTAAGACTCATTTATAGTTGAGATATGTCACTTTGATTTTAACTGGTGTGACCTCGGTTCCATAAGAACCCAACTTACTAAAAATCGATTTTTTCGTTTGTACATATTAGTTACTTCTTCATAAACAATATCTAACACCTTTTCGATAAAATTATCAGTAATTACCAATTTAATGCATTATTTAAAATGTGCCTCAAAAAATAATAAATTGGGCCACCATAAACTTCTATTGCTGGCCTATCCCCTTGACACGATTTTCTTTTTTTCTTTTGAAATATGTTAATTACAATGTTATAAACTTAAAAACATGGCGCTTATGAACGTCTACTCATTTATAGTTGAGATAAGTCATATTGAATATTGAATCATATTGAAATTAACGGGGAATTTTGAACTTTGAATTTTTTTGAGCGGGGGTGGTCTGACTTTGAATCCGTAAAAACCCAAGTTACTAAATATACAAGAATCCAATGTCATTCGGTTCCATGATTAATTTTATGGATAATAATTAATTTATTTTAATAAATTTATTTTTACTATAGCTATGTTCTGTTGATTTAGGTGCTCATCTGACTTCGGTTGCATGACGACGCTACATTAAACCAATTAATGTCGCATGACTTTCGCTAAACATGTATTTTTGTGGGTAATAAACTAAACCTATAACATTTTAGGGGGTGTAAGTAATAATTTCTTCGATTTTATAGTGTTTTAAATGGAAATAAAAAATATATATAATAAATTTCTAAAAATACAATATAACACACAGAAAATATATCTACACTCCTGGTGGGACAGGCTCATTATGTTGAGCGGGTTGAGGGGGATGTCCCTGGCGAGGCATCACGTCAGGGGCTCGATGGGTGAAGTTCTGATGCTGGAGAATGATGTAGTGGCGTAGTGGGAGTTGTTGAGGGATTTGTTGAGGGATTTGTTGTGGGATTTGTTGAGGGATTTGTTGAGGGTTGATCTTGGTTGTATTGGGTGACGGGAAACTTGAATGTTGAAAACTTAAAAAATGTGGATGGTAGAATGGGGAAATTGTAGGAGGCGAAATGAGGTATTGGAGTGAGGTTTGGTGGTTAAAATAATTGGGAGGAGGGAATATGCCAGGGTAGGAGTGTTGTGGTAGTACCGGGTGTCGTTGTAATAGGCCTAGTGCGGAAGTTTGTTGAAGTAGTTGTTGTTGAGTTGGGGGTGGTGGTGGTTGTTGTTGAGGTGGGTGTGGTGGTGGTTGTTGTTGAGGTGGGGATGGTGGTGGTTGTTGAGGTGGGGGTGTTGGTGGGAGTGAAGGTAGTTGTGGTGGGGGTGTTGGTGGGATGGATGGTGATCGTCTGGGTCTCCTAGGTGGTCCCCTCGACCCCCGATTGCCTGAGCCCCTCCTGCCTCTGTAACGCATGTTGTTCCTTCCTCGCCCGGGTCTTGGGCCGCTTCTACCTTTTCGGTGTAGCCTCAGAATGTTGACCACAGTTTCCGGATCTTCTTGTGTGTCTGAAACAAGCTATGTATTGCAGTCTGTAAATTCCTATTGTAAAAACAGGATGTAAATTCCACAATGAAATCAACACGAAGTGCATATCTCCCCCTAGCCAAAATGGTGGGTATTCCAAAATTTGATTCAGGCCTATGTGAAACCACCAATTTCAGAAATATTAAAATAGATGTGTACCTATTTTTTAATATACAAAAATTGATAGAAACATTCTATTTGTGGAATTGGTTGTTCACAAAAGTCCCGCGCTTGTTAAAGAAAAATATTTTTTAAAGTTAATAACAGGGTAGGGCGTGGTGATGACTTATTTTTAAAATAACAACCTCTATTGTGGTCTATATGGTTTATATTCCAAAGCACCCATTTAGAAGTGAGTGAAACAATATTTTTATGTAAAGAATTGTAAAACCTTTCTTAACAATCAATATCACAAACAGAATGTATCTATCTATTTTGGTTAAAAATACAGTTTGTTTTGTTACTTATTTACACACTGTATAGGAAATTCACTAAAATGTACGTTTACATGTAACACGGACCTTAACAACCGCTAAACAATGTATAAAAAACTTATTATGGTATTTTCATTATTACTCATACCTAACCAAATAGTTATTGTAGAAGTTACTGTTAGTAAATGCATCTGTTCCTCATCACTTAATTAGTATTATTTTGTGATATGCATGTGCCCTATCTTGTTTTTAAGGTTTAGCGCCCAATCTTAAGAGTAATTACGTTTTATCAATAATGTTAGTATTGAGATTGGAATAATTTATTTGAGATTTTATTGAACAAGTCCAAAAATAACTTGACTGCTTATTTTTACATTAATTTTAATGCTCACAAAAGATACTCTAACAATCAAAGTACACCCCTAGTGCACCGTAGTCTAGCTGGCTTGTGTTCATACATGTATTTCCTACTTTCTCTTGTTTGGCGTACGTTTGTTTTTTAATGTCTAAACCGACATGGCAAGACCCATGTTAAGTTTTAAGTTTACCTTATGACATTGTAACGCAATACATGGAATTTTGAAATAAACCAACAAAATTCAGTAAAGTAGCAGTTGATTAATAACTTACGCAGTAGGCCACCGACCAATCCATGGGACTCGGGCAGCGACGCCCCGCATCATTCTACAGAATTCGATGCTGGACCCACCCCTGCCCGAAGATGGGATCAACATGGTCAACCTGATGCTGAAATCCATATCAATCTGAAAATGTGTCTGTGTCACTCAAGGTCCTACTATAACATCATAAATCTGTCATGCAAATGCTCCAGGCATGCTTCTGTTATCAGATGGTGATGTAGATGTCATTGAAAAGTCTTGGAAAAAGACTACCAAAAAGGCTCTTGTAACCTACTTTGAGTCCAAGTATATCCAAGACCATGCTCAACGATCATTTTCAATGGATCGTGAAGGCATAAAAAAGATAAGTAAACTTATTTTGTCAAATGGATTTATAAACGACCCCGACTACTACACAGAGCTAAAAACACTAGATTACCTTGTGTGTTTCTCGGAATCGACATCACACAACAGGTGGTATGTGTATATTGACGACTACAAGTTGTTAGAGGGTCCTCTTGGCTGGACTCGACAGTTATTGATATTGCAGGTCATGTCATACTCGTAAAAATTTCCTACTTCACATTTCGATTGGATATTTCAGTTTTGGTTTTCGAAGTAATAACTGTGCGGGTGTGCATGTGTATGTGTGAATGTACAGAGCTACAGACTAAACCTATGGTTCTTTTTGATGACATTTAATATTAATGTTCTAATCCAAGGTCTCTCCAGGTGTTATTTACCATTTGTTAGAAATTTTGTTTTTCAACAGCGGTTTCGACATAAAACAACTGAAAATGGAATCTGGACTTAAAAGGCCGGAATTTTTTTATAACTTATTTATTCTCCACCTATTTTTTACTCGAATAACACTATTACCTTATTTTATGCAAATTAAAGCAAAACGATTAATGTAATTGATATCAAAAATAATGTTCCCACTAAATAAAAATGCGTTTCTGAATATCACATCACTGCTTGTCGCAAAATAGAATAGTTGGTGCAGAAATCTATTGATGGCGCTGTATCGTGACCTAACACCATTATCGCCAGGTACCACTATTATACTAATAATACCAGAATATAACAACTAGATTGGAATTTACCTTATATTTATTTCACAGACTTGTCTCAATTTACCTGAGATGCACTAAAACCATTTTACGATTAAACAAACTGATAAATCATTTAACCTTATTAGTTTAAATTGATAAAGTTTAAAAGTAAATATTCGACATAAAATGAACATGTTATTGAAATCATACAACTGTAGCAATAAAAAACATTATAAATTTATTGGAAACATTAACATAAAATTACATAAATATTCAAAACAATATTTGTTAAATAAAAGTTATTATCTTGAATTATAATTTTTTTTTTTAAATATGAAATAATAAAAATACTTATAACCTAAAATATAAAATAAAAACTTAAAAAAATTTAAAAATTTAAATTTACAAGTTACAAACAAAACAATATGTTTAATAAAATAAAATTAAATTAAAACCATAAAATTTTTTTATATGAAATAATAAAAAAACATAACCTAAAATATAAAATAGAAACTTAAAAAAACTTGAAAAATTAACAATATACTTCTTACTAACAAAACAATATAACTACCAACACTTAAACAATTAAACTAACTTATTACTTATACTGGGCGTCCAAAACCACCCGTACACCCCTTTCAAAACGATGGAAACATTTTCTTAGAAACCAAAAATAATACAGAACTAGCTACATTGGGTACGGTCCACGAAATATTGATGGCGCTGTATCGTGACCTAACACCATTATCGCCAGGTACCACTATTATACTAATAATACCAGAATATAACAACTAGATTGGAATTTACCTTATATTTATTTCACAGTCTTGTCTCAATTTACCTGAGATGCACTAAAACCATTTTACGATTAAACAAACTGATAAATCATTTAACCTTATTAGTTTAAATTGATAAAGTTTAAAAGTAAATATTCGACATAAAATGAACATGTTATTGAAATCATACAACTGTAGCAATAAAAAACATTATAAATTTATTGGAAACATTAACATAAAATTACATAAATATTCAAAACAATATTTGTTAAATAAAAGTTATTATCTTGAATTATAATTTTTTTTTTAAATATGAAATAATAAAAATACTTATAACCTAAAATATAAAATAAAAACTTAAAAAAATTTAAAAATTTAAATTTACAAGTTACAAACAAAACAATATGTTTAATAAAATAAAATTAAATTAAAACCATAAAATTTTTTATATGAAATAATAAAAAAACATAACCTAAAATATAAAATAGAAACTTAAAAAAACTTGAAAAATTAACAATATACTTCTTACTAACAAAACAATATAACTACCAACACTTAAACAATTAAACTAACTTATTACTTATACTGGGCGTCCAAAACCACCCGTACACCCCTTTCAAAACAATGGAAACATTTTCTTAGAAACCAAAAATAATACAGAACTAGCTACATTGGGTACGGTCCACGAAATATTGATGGCGCTGTATCGTGACCTAACACCATTATCGCCAGGTACCACTATTATACTAATAATACCAGAATATAACAACTAGATTGGAATTTACCTTATATTTATTTCACAGACTTGTCTCAATTTACCTGAGATGCACTAAAACCATTTTACGATTAAACAAACTGATAAATCATTTAACCTTATTAGTTTAAATTGATAAAGTTTAAAAGTAAATATTCGACATAAAATGAACATGTTATTGAAATCATACAACTGTAGCAATAAAAAACATTATAAATTTATTGGAAACATTAACATAAAATTACATAAATATTCAAAACAATATTTGTTAAATAAAAGTTATTATCTTGAATTATAATTTTTTTTTTAAATATGAAATAATAAAAATACTTATAACCTAAAATATAAAATAAAAACTTAAAAAAATTTAAAAATTTAAATTTACAAGTTACAAACAAAACAATATGTTTAATAAAATAAAATTAAATTAAAACCATAAAATTTTTTTATATGAAATAATAAAAAAACATAACCTAAAATATAAAATAGAAACTTAAAAAAACTTGAAAAATTAACAATATACTTCTTACTAACAAAACAATATAACTACCAACACTTAAACAATTAAACTAACTTATTACTTATACTGGGCGTCCAAAACCACCCGTACACCCCTTTCAAAACGATGGAAACATTTTCTTAGAAACCAAAAATAATACAGAACTAGCTACATTGGGTACGGTCCACGAAATATTGATGGCGCTGTATCGTGACCTAACACCATTATCGCCAGGTACCACTATTATACTAATAATACCAGAATATAACAACTAGATTGGAATTTACCTTATATTTATTTCACAGTCTTGTCTCAATTTACCTGAGATGCACTAAAACCATTTTACGATTAAACAAACTGATAAATCATTTAACCTTATTAGTTTAAATTGATAAAGTTTAAAAGTAAATATTCGACATAAAATGAACATGTTATTGAAATCATACAACTGTAGCAATAAAAAACATTATAAATTTATTGGAAACATTAACATAAAATTACATAAATATTCAAAACAATATTTGTTAAATAAAAGTTATTATCTTGAATTATAATTTTTTTTTTAAATATGAAATAATAAAAATACTTATAACCTAAAATATAAAATAAAAACTTAAAAAAATTTAAAAATTTAAATTTACAAGTTACAAACAAAACAATATGTTTAATAAAATAAAATTAAATTAAAACCATAAAATTTTTTATATGAAATAATAAAAAAACATAACCTAAAATATAAAATAGAAACTTAAAAAAACTTGAAAAATTAACAATATACTTCTTACTAACAAAACAATATAACTACCAACACTTAAACAATTAAACTAACTTATTACTTATACTGGGCGTCCAAAACCACCCGTACACCCCTTTCAAAACAATGGAAACATTTTCTTAGAAACCAAAAATAATACAGAACTAGCTACATTGGGTACGGTCCACGAAATATTGATGGCGCTGTATCGTGACCTAACACCATTATCGCCAGGTACCACTATTATACTAATAATACCAGAATATAACAACTAGATTGGAATTTACCTTATATTTATTTCACAGTCTTGTCTCAATTTACCTGAGATGCACTAAAACCATTTTACGATTAAACAAACTGATAAATCATTTAACCTTATTAGTTTAAATTGATAAAGTTTAAAAGTAAATATTCGACATAAAATGAACATGTTATTGAAATCATACAACTGTAGCAATAAAAAACATTATAAATTTATTGGAAACATTAACATAAAATTACATAAATATTCAAAACAATATTTGTTAAATAAAAGTTATTATCTTGAATTATAATTTTTTTTTTAAATATGAAATAATAAAAATACTTATAACCTAAAATATAAAATAAAAACTTAAAAAAATTTAAAAATTTAAATTTACAAGTTACAAACAAAACAATATGTTTAATAAAATAAAATTAAATTAAAACCATAAAATTTTTTATATGAAATAATAAAAAAACATAACCTAAAATATAAAATAGAAACTTAAAAAAACTTGAAAAATTAACAATATACTTCTTACTAACAAAACAATATAACTACCAACACTTAAACAATTAAACTAACTTATTACTTATACTGGGCGTCCAAAACCACCCGTACACCCCTTTCAAAACAATGGAAACATTTTCTTAGAAACCAAAAATAATACAGAACTAGCTACATTGGGTACGGTCCACGAAATATTGATGGCGCTGTATCGTGACCTAACACCATTATCGCCAGGTACCACTATTATACTAATAATACCAGAATATAACAACTAGATTGGAATTTACCTTATATTTATTTCACAGACTTGTCTCAATTTACCTGAGATGCACTAAAACCATTTTACGATTAAACAAACTGATAAATCATTTAACCTTATTAGTTTAAATTGATAAAGTTTAAAAGTAAATATTCGACATAAAATGAACATGTTATTGAAATCATACAACTGTAGCAATAAAAAACATTATAAATTTATTGGAAACATTAACATAAAATTACATAAATATTCAAAACAATATTTGTTAAATAAAAGTTATTATCTTGAATTATAATTTTTTTTTTAAATATGAAATAATAAAAATACTTATAACCTAAAATATAAAATAAAAACTTAAAAAAATTTAAAAATTTAAATTTACAAGTTACAAACAAAACAATATGTTTAATAAAATAAAATTAAATTAAAACCATAAATTTTTTTTATATGAAATAATAAAAAAACATAACCTAAAATATAAAATAGAAACTTAAAAAAACTTGAAAAATTAACAATATACTTCTTACTAACAAAACAATATAACTACCAACACTTAAACAATTAAACTAACTTATTACTTATACTGGGTGTCCAAAACCACCCGTACACCCCTTTCAAAACGATGGAAACATTTTCTTAGAAACCAAAAATAATACAGAACTAGCTACATTGGGTACGGTCCACGAAATGGTGATAATTTCAAATCCAAAATCACACCGGAAGTGGCTTTTTCAGACCGGAAGTTGACTTTTTGAAATGTAAGCTACCAATTTTGATTACAGAATCGGATTCTACGTTGAAAAATACATAACTTTTGTATAAAACATTTTTTGAAAACAACTAGTTTTCTACCTCTATTCTCCTATTAAAGTCAATAATTTTGGGTCATTCATCTGTCAAAGTTGCTTGAAACAATAATAGAGAAAAACAAATAATAAAGATTACATAAAGACCTGTGATAAATAGAATCAGCTGTTCATTGTAAACATTATATTAATTGAGTAACAGCTGGTCTACACATTGCTTAGTATCATTCTATTAAAAAAATCATTTATTTTTAAATTAAAATGTACAAATGTAAAAACAAATGATTTAAACAAAAAATAAATTAAGCAATGTGTAGACCAGCTGTTACTCAATTACTAAGGTGTTTACAATAAACAGCTGATTCTATTCTTCATATGTCTTTATGTAATCTTTGTTATTTGTTTTTCTCTATTATTGTTTTGAGTAACTTTGACGGACGAATGACTCAAAATTATTGACTTTAATTTGGGGATTAGAGGTAGAAAACAAGTTTTTTCAAAAAAATGTTTTAGATAAAAGCTATGTATTTTTTAACGTAGAATCCGATTCTTTAATAAAAATTGGTAGTTTATATTTAAAAAAAAGTCAACTTCCGGTCTGAAAAAGCCACTTCCGGTGTGATTTTGAATTTGAAAATATCACCATTGAAAATATCATTTGAAAAATCATCATCATATTTGGTAGACCGTGCCCAATTTATCTAGTTCTGTGTTATTAGTTGTTTGTAAGAAAAGGTTTCCTTCGTTTTTAAAGGGGTGTACGGGTGGTTTTGGACACCCGGTATTAGGCTAACATTGAAAGTAGTAAATTCTTAATCATTTACCTCCTTCCCATCTACAAGTTCTCCCTCCTCAATTGGTGTTTTCTCCCCTGCTTCTTTATCCTTTTCGCCGGGGGTTTCTTTGGCCACCACTTGTTCTTGTTCTTTGTCGTCTTGTTCCCTCCTCCTGTCTCCATCAACGCCGCCACCTCTTCCTATGCCACCTCTTCCTATGCCCCCTCTTCCCCTAAATCCGCTTCCTCGCCTTTGCTCATAAGGTTTGAATCTGTTCGTCTGCTTCCCTTGTGCCCTGAAATTTCTCAGTATGGTAATCACCATACTCTCCTTGTACTCGTATTGCTCTGTAAAAAAGTGACGTTAAAATATTAGAGATACAAATTATAAAATGTTATACAATATCTAATCTGATGCAGTGTGTAAATTAAGTTTTGAAACAAATCTGTATTTTTAAACCGAAATTGATAGAATTGTGGCGTTTAACAAATGTTCTGTTCATGGTTTTTTGTATAAACATTTTATTTAACCCTTTTAAACAGAGTAGAATATGGGGGTGATTTATTTTATTAATAACAACCGCTATTGAGTGACCCTTCATTTCCAAGGGTTTGTCAAAAGTAATACAATGTCGCAAATCCGACGTAGATATGAACAAATTTGATTTATGTGAAAAAGCACCCTATAAGCGTATAACTCGAGTTAGGACGATAACTCGAGCAAAAATGTTCCGATTTTGATGAAATATGGTTTAAACGTGTAAACCTTCATTTATTCGAAAGAGTTCGCGAACCAGCATGATCGGACTATGGGAACAGGGTTTTATGGGGTAAAAATTTACTTACTAACTATTTACATTTAAAAAAAAACATTTTTACCCTCCCTGATGCAGCAAACCTAAGTACTTGTTCTACTAATTCAATTTTAATGGGAAATAAATGTTATATTTTTAAGTAGACATTTTAGTGTAAATCAAATCAGGCAAATGGAAAATCGCCTAGTCTGAAGGTTTTCGGCGGCGAGGTTATTTATTTGATTTTTTAATAACCGCCATTTTGGCTATGGCCGAAATGTCCACCTCAGGCTTTACAAACCCTTCAAAATGTAGACCTTTAGTTATATTACTGAATATTTGCATTATAAGTCGGGAGGTTTAATTATTTTCATTTAACTTACCAAGCATAGATACAATTAGGCCAACTTGGGCCCACGGCACACTTGCCGCCACACTTGAGGCTGCCTCCCCCCTCGTTTTAGCTTCCTCCTTAGCTATGTACATTTTATATGCGGCACGATTCACTGAATCAAGATTCATCTGTAAAAATTATATTTTAAAAACCAGTGCTACATGACACTAGATGGGCTGAGGGGGTTTGAGCAGGCATGAGAGTAGTATGCAATGTTATTGCTGATTATTGTAATATGGACTGTGGTGATGAAAATTTCGTATGTCGCCTATTTCAGAAGTGGTCGATAAGGTGGGGGGAGAGGGCAAACATGGCGGGCTGCGCTATGCGTAAAACGCTGATATTTAGAAAACGGTTAAAGATACAACATCGGTTAAGTAGTTGGTTTATCATTGTACAATAATTGATCGGAACTGTAATATGTTACATGTAATTCACAGTTAACATGTTAAGGTACAATTCTGTACTCATTTAAAGATCAAAATCCTAACCAATTGTATATTTACAATAACCTACCCCCGTCGTCCCCACCCCGATAAAAGTATCAGTATTTACCAATTTAATGCATTATTTAAAATTTGCATCAAGAAAATAATAAATTGCCATAAATTTCTATTGCTGGCCTATCCTTTTGGTACTATTTCCTTTTTTTAATATGTTTATTACATTGTTATGAACTGGAAAACACATCGTTTATGTTGTAAGACTCATTCGTAGTCGAGATGTGTCACTTCGATTTTAACTGTTGTGACTTCGGTTCCATAAGAACCCAACATACAAAAAATAGATTTTTTCGTTTGTACATAGGCCTATTAGTTACTTCTTTATAAACAATATCTAACACCTTTTCGATAAAATGATCAGTAATTACCAATTTAATGCATTATTTAAAATGTGCCTCAAAAAATGATAAATTAGGCTACCATAAACTTCTATTGCTGGCCTATCCCCTTGACATGATTTTCTTTTTTTCTTTTGAAATATGTTAATTACATTGTTATAAACTTAAAAACATGGCGCTTATGTCCGTCTTCTCATTTATAGTTTAGATAAGTCATATTGAATATTGAATATTGAATCATATTGAAATTAACGGGGAATTTTGAACTTTGAATTTTTTTGAGCGGGGGTGGTCTGACTTTGAATCTGTAAAAACCCAAGTTACTAAATATACAAGACCCAATGTCATTCGGTTCCATGATTAATTTTATGGATAATAATTAATTTATTTTAATAAATTTATTTTTACTATAGCTATGTTCTGTTGATTTAGGTGCTCGTCTGATTTCGGTTGCATGACGACGCTACATTAAACCAATTAACGTTGCATGACTTTGGCTAAACATGTATTTATGAGGGTAATAAACTAAACCTATAACATTTTAGGGGATTTAAGTAATAATTTCTTCGATTTTATAGTGTTTTAAATGGAAATAAAAAATATATATAATAAATTTCTAAAAATACAATATAACACACAGAAAATATATCTACACTCCTGGTGGGACAGGCTCATTATGTTGAGCGGGTTGAGGGGGATGTCCCTGGCGAGGCATCACGTCAGGGGCTCGATGTGTGAAGTTATGATGCTGGAGAATGATGTAGTGGCGTAGTGGGAGTTGTTGAGGGATTTGTTGAGGGATTTGTTGTGGGATTTGTTGAGGGATTTGTTGAGGGGCTTGGGGGAGTGGCAGGCTTGTTGATCTTGGTTGTATTGGGTGACGGGAAACTTGAATGTTGAAAACTTAAAAAATGTGGATGGTAGAATGGGGAAATTGTAGGAGGCGAAATGAGGTATTGGAGTGAGGTTTGGTGGTTAAAATAATTGGGAGGAGGGAATATGACAGGGTAGGAGTGTTGTGGTAGTACCGGGTGTCGTTGTGGTAGGCCTAGTGCGGAAGTTTGTTGAAGTAGTTGTTGTTGAGGTGGGGGTGGTGGTGGTTGTTGTTGAGGTGGGTGTGGTGGTGGTTGTTGTTGAGGTGGGGGTGGTGGTGGTTGTTGAGGTGGGGGTGTTGGTGGGAGTGAAGGTAGTTGTGGTGGGGGTGTTGGTGGGATGGATGGTGATCGTCTGGGTCTCCTAGGTGGTCCCCTCGACCCCCGATTGCCTGAGCCCCTCCTGCCTCTGTAACGCATGTTGTTCCTTCCTCGCCCGGGTTTTGGGCCGCTTCTACCTTTTCGGTGTAGCCTCAGAATGTTGACCACAGTTTCCGGATCTTCTTGTGTGTCTGAAACAAGCTATGTATTGCAGTCTGTAAATTCCTATTGTAAAAACAGGATGTAAATTCCACAATGAAATCAACACGAAGTGCATATCTCACCCTAGCCAAAATGGTGGGTATTCCAAAATTTTATTCAGGCCTATGTGAAACCACCAATTTCAGAAATATTAAAATAGATGTGTACCTATTTTTTAATATACAAAAATTGATAGAAACATTCTATTTGTGGAATTGGTTGTTCACAAAAGTCCCCCGCTTGTTAAAGAAAAATATTTTTTAAAGTTAATAACAGGGTAGGGTGTGGTGATGACTTATTTTTTAAATAACAACCCCTATTGTGTGACCCCTCATTTTTAAGGGGTTGACAAAAGAAATACAATGACCCAAACCCAAGGTAGATATTTTATTCCTTGCGTAAATGGCGGGTATTTCAAAATTTGATTTTATGTGGAAAATTTGGTTTATATTTTAAAGCACCCATTTAGGGGTGAGTGAAACAATATTTTTATTCACTAAAGTGTACGTTTACATGTAACACGGACCTTAACAACCGCTAAACTATGTATAAAAAACTTATTATGGTATTTTCATTATTACTCATACCTAACTAAATAGTTATTGTAGAAGTTACCGTTAGTAAATCCATCTGTTCCTCATCACTTAAATAGTATTATTTTGTGATATGCATTTGCCCTATTTTGTTTTTAAGGTTTAGCGCCCAATCTTAAGAGTAATTACGTTTTATCAATAATGTTAGTATTGAGATTGGAATAATTTATTTGAGATTTTATTGAACAAGTCCAAAAATAACTTGACTGCTTATTTTTACATTAATTTTAATGCACACAAAAGATACTCTAACAATCAAAGTCACTAGTACACCCCTAGTGCACCGTAGTCTAGATGGCTTGTTTTCATAAATGTATTTCCTACATTCTCTTGTTTGGCATACGTTTGTTTTTAATGTCTAAACCGACATGGCAAGACCCATGTTAAGTTTTAAGTTTACCTCATGACATTGTAACGCAATACATGGAATTTTTAAATAAACCAACAAAAATACTATCCTAATATTCAGTAAAGTAGCAGTTGATTAACAACTTACGCAGTAGGCCACCGACCAATCCATGGGACTCGGGCAGCGACGCCCCGCAACATTCTACAGAATTCGATGCTGGACCCAGCCCTGCCCGAAGATGGGATCAACATGGTGAACCTGATGCTGAAATCCATATCGACCTGAAAATTTGTCTGTGTTACTCAAGGTCCTACTATAACATCATAAATCTTTATGCAAATGTTCCAGGTATGCTTCTGTTATCAGAAGGTGATGTAGATGTCATTGAAGAGTCTTGGAAAAAGACTACCAAAAAGGCTCTCCATAAACAATGTGTGTGTGTGTTATTTACTGTTTTTGAGTTTTATAGTAAATTAGTTTACACAATATCTTTTCTTCAATGAGTTCTCCGCTTGTCTTGTTGCTTAGCCCTTAGCATATTACTATTTTAGGCCCTATAAAATTAATGCCCATGTAAAGCTGTAGGCCTACTGATGCCAATAATAGATTCTTTATTTATGATGATATGACAAATAATGCTATTGCAAGTGTGAGGTTATTATACTTACAGTAGTAGGTTAGGAGACAGGGAATGAATTATACAAATTTCATGGTGGAAACATGTTATTTTATTTTCTTCTTGCTTGCAGTCTTGAAGTCAGTCCACAGGCTAACATAACTTGTGATATGTTAATTGATTTGTTTATGGTCTTTTTATATTAAGTTCCATTCAAATTTGTTGTAATTTAGTTATTTCAACAATTATTGCAATGAGAATGAATGTCTTGATAAAAAATTATTTTCTTATTTCTTGCAATTGAGGCAATTCCCCAGCTGTTTTTTGTATCTCATTTATTAATTTTATTAGCAAAAGTATTTATTATAATCTTAAACTTAACTCTAAGGCCAAAGGAAGAATCAGTGACACCAATTTTGAAACACAACTTCTTTTAAAGTTTAATAGGCATTTAAAGTAAATTTTGTTGTAGTAATGAATGTAAAATGTAATGTAAATGTGACAATGTTTAATTAATATTTATTTAAAACACAATTAGTTACCAAGATGTGTCATTATTTCATTATATATAAAATCTCTTAAAACAACTGTCTAACAAACAGCTATCTTCCAAAAAACTAGCTTTATTTTATATCAGTTACTTTTTAAACTAACTAACTAGTAACTTCTATCAGTTACTTTTTACGGGACTAACTTCTAAATTTTGACTAACTTTCCCAACTACGGCCCCTTTTTACCTGATGAAATAAATTTCTTGATGACGGGTTTTATTCCATCCAGTAGAGGCAAGACTGTGGACAAGGTTTGTAAAAATGAACTTGATGACACTGTTGTGGCGTCGTCCAGAGGTTTCAGGATCTTTATTGATGCTTTTGTGGCGTCGTCCAGAGGTTTCAGGATCTCTATTGATGCTGTTGTGGCGTCGTCCAGAGGTTTCAGGATCTATATTAATGCTGTTGTGGCGTCGTCCAGAGGTTTCAGGATCTTTATTGATGCTTTTGTGGCGTCGTCCAGAGGTTTCAGTTTTCTCTATTGATGCTGTTGTGGCGTCGTCCAGAGGTTTCAGGATCTATATTAATGCTGTTGTGGCGTCGTCCAGAGGTTTCAGAATCTTTATTGATGCTTTTGTGGCGTCGTCCAGAGGTTTCAGGATCTTTATTAATGCTGTTGTGGCGTCGTCCAGAGGATACAGGATATGTATTGATGACACTGTTGTGGCGTCGTCCAGAGGTTTCAGGATCTTTATTAATGATGTTGTGGCGTCGTCCAGAGGTTTCAGGATATGTATATACCCATCAG